GGGGGGGGGGGGGCCAGAGAGGAGCCACAGAGATGATCAAAGGCCTGGGAAGCCTGCCATGTGAGGAAAGGCTGAGAGAACTGGATTTGTTCAGCCTTGGGAAGGGGTGACTATGGACTGACCTTCTCCTCGTGTTCCAGTATTTAAAGGGTGGCTACAAAGAAGAGGGAGACTCCCTTTTGACAAGGAGTCACATGGAGAAGATGGTGGGTAGTGGGTTCAAGTTACTCCTGGGGAGATTCCAACTGGACACAAGAAGAAAAATTTTCACGTTGAGAACAATCGGCCACTGGAATAATCTCCCCAGGGAAGTGGTGGATTCCCCAACACTGGACACTCAAGATTTAGCTGGGCAGGGTGCTGGGCCATCTTGTCTAGACCGGACTTCTGCCAAGGAAGGTTGGATCCTTGAGGTCCCCTCCAACCTGGTATTCTATGATTATTAGGTACTGAAAAAAGTAGTAAATCAACCTATCAACCTTAAATACAACTGTACATTTAATTCATGATCAGCAATACCAAAATAAACATATGAATATACAAGTTTTTGGCACAGGTTTACATACCTATGAAAAGCAGCGAGCGTTTCCTAGCAAACTGGAGTCCTTCTCTTCTCTCTACTTCACGATCAGGCTGCAGACACAAATGAAGAACGTGACTAAAATAAGTTATGCTTACCACTTTTAAGAAGTCCCTGGGAAAGCACCACTGCAGAAGTGAAGTTTTGCTGAAAACAAGAGTCTATACAACCATGTAGTAATCAGCAACTGGATTTTCACACTCAGACAGCTTACTGCTAGGCAGACTGCTGGGGGTCAAACTGAACAGTAGCAACATCAAATCAGTAGGAACTGAATGTGTTGCTATCTTCTGAATCAACTAGAGCAAGATATATGCCAGAAAGAAAGGTTCAGGAGTCAAACAGCTGAAGAGGCACATCAAAGGTGCTGAAAACTGACAGATTTGCAAGGAGACAGAAGAGAGCCTAGGTCAGGATAGCCACACTGGAAGCCTCTTGTAGTAAAGCAAGAGTGAAGCATTTCACTATGCAACAGGCATCCAAGGTTTGTCAAAACACCCCAGAAACAGACAGCAAACAATGTACCTCACACCCACACAGATACATACTCTGTAAGCTATCTGAAAAGCTGAATTCTTCTTCCCCACCATCGGTCTGAAACACAGTCCAGTCAGAAAGCAAGCAACAGTTATCCTGTTGCACTGAAGTTAACTTCAATGGCATACAGCAGTTTTTTGGCAGAACTTCTCACTATCTTATGAGAATCTCATCAATTGCATCTCTCCAGGAGAGGTTCCACAAAAGTCTTTAACATAATCTGCTTCTAAAATGACATACTAAGTGGAGCCCACCCAACCTAGGTTCTTCAGTTACAGAGCATATCACCTCCTCACACAACAGATGTGTTAGTTTCAGCACTTCTCACATTTTTATCATGACTGAGTTATCTGTGGAAGAGTGCAGGAGTCATTTCTAAACTGACCTTATCAGTTTTATTGCCAACTAACATCTTCACCGTATTGCTTTTGGTGGTATACATTTCCAGCTCATTCAGCCAGCTCTCTAGTCCTGCGAAAGTGTCTTTTCTTGTAACATCATACACTGGTAACAGAGAAAAAGAAGCTTAACAGCTGTAGAGTCTTGAACAATATTTACTTCATTATGGAAGAACATGGTCCCTACTGGCTAACTATGACCCCCTCAAAAAAAGCAGTATTAGAGAATTACAGAAAGATGCATCAACTGTATCCTCTTCTCAGAACTGCAACACACTGTCCATGCTCACCCCAAGTCACTAGGGATGAGTGACAAGTACACAAGCATCTCTGCATTAGATCTACAACTGCAATCAGACTTGTCAGTTGAAATCTTAGACCTGTTTCTAGTTCTGAATTGGGCAAGAGTATTTTAAAATAGTAATTTTGTCACCCCGTTTAATGTACGACTACATGCACGCACTGCTGCTAAAAACACAGATTCCAAGTAGAAAGTAACTTTTGGTCACAAGTAACTTCATAACTACAGTCACTCAATCACTAAGGTTTAAAAAAAGCTGCATCATAGTCAGAAAGAGGATTTGGTACAAGCAAGGTGCCTTCACAAACCCTGAGAATAAGAATCCCCTTTTTCCAATTGGTGTTGTCACACCGAAAGGGACTAGCCATCCATTTCTTGTGCTACAAACCTCACGTATTACAGTCAACATCAATAGTTTCTGGAAAAAAAGTAGTAAAAACATGGTGGGTGTTTTTAGAAACCAACACAAAACCCAGCTAGCCTTATTATCAGAAACTCACCAAAGTAATAACTACAAAGCCAATAATTCATCCACTCAACAGCCTGTAGCGTGACATCTCTATTTAAATTAAAATTATTCTGAAGCAGCACTATTTCCTGCCAGTGGTTTTGCATACTCAGTGTTTGAACTAATGATGTAGTAATGTTTTAAAAACTGTAATATTTCCTCTGATTCAGGAAGTCAACCTCCTTTTGTAAAGACACGCACATTTAGGTAGTAATAAATACCACACTTTTCGTAATCATGTTTTTCTTCCATATACGTCCTACCTAAAACAACCCCTTGAGCTCCTCGGTAATAACTGGGAGTCAGCGTTCTAAAGCGCTCCTGTCCTGCTGTGTCCTACAAAGGAAAAACAAAACAGAAAAAAACACACAAACTCAAATATATTTAGAACAAAAAATGGTATTTTAAACTATACAAGCTAAACAAAGTTAAATTGTTCCTGACCAGTATGAATACATGAAACCGTAAGACAGTAGATGAGGGAAGCAATCAAACATCAGCAGCAGCAAAAGAAACAGTAAGGAGGCGTAGAAAAGCGTCGAGAGGACTTGATCGAAGGTTAAAGCAGTAAGCACAAGAACCTGTAACGTGAGAGAGACAAGTCGTCAATGGGTCTCAAGAGAAATACATAAAAGCCTATTGCTGTAAGCCAAGCAGCTAGACTTAATTAGTTAACAATCAGCTGAACTGAATGAGGTGAGGAGTAACCCGTTTTCCAGTGAGACACACTGCGGGAAAGGAGACATAGTGGTTCCAAAAAAGTCTCCCTTTGCTCCTCCACAGCAGGAAATAAGAATGCAGTCAGAAAGAACTACTTCGGGTTTGCTAAGATTTTAAGCAGATAAGAAATTTAAAATCAGTGAAATTGAAAAACCCTGAGAACAAACAGTACAGAGGCAAAAGAATTACACATACTATTTTTACCAAAGAATGTATTTACAAATTACAATAGACAAGACTAACAGCTATGTTGTAATTTATTTCTTCTTTGTTAAAAAAATAAACTGAAATTGGCAATATATGTACTCAATTTGGGTCACCATGATACAGAGAAATGATTACTTGTTTTGAGATTTATTTACTTATAGAAAACTACTTAGCAACTTATTTACTTATTTATAGCAAGTTATAGTATTTTTTTAATATTGCTAAGAATCCTGCTTGCCTAGACTGTTCTGTGGAATTTTACCAAGGACTACTGTTCACCAAAACAAAGCAGTTCACTGTGAAAATCTGCCAAGGATTACAATGTTCAGCAAAATATTATACTTTTGTCCTTGAGTAGCAAGTGGGTCAAACTAGTTGGAATTTTGCTAATGAGTCAAGACAGCCATATATGAATGGTAGAAGTTCTATTGGCTTTGTGGAGAGATCCCCTTGCACCCCAGCGCCAGAGTAAACATACCTCTATATATAACTCTATTCGAGTTGTAGAGTCTTATTTCCACGAATCAACTGTTACTAAGGAGATTGTAGTTTTAGGCATCTATGCACAAATGGACACTAAACTGGAAGCCTGTTTTTGACCTTGATGCACTGTACATGCATTAAAGTTTTGATTTAACATTGCACAACTGCACTGTTTTTTCCTCCCTAATTAGTAGCTTCTCCTGATGCTGTACAGACTGCTGCAAAATGCCTTTTCCAGCCATACAACTTGTGCAAGTTCTGGCCTTGCTTTTGATCTCACAGCAAGGAGACACACCCCTGTGTGATTATTAGGGCAAGCATATCTTGGTTACTCTCAGCAGAGCTTCTGCTTTATGTGCAGCATGTTCAGAACACAGCCAATACATACGGTCACTGGTTAGAGCCAGTATGACTTTATCACTCTTGCTCTGCATTCTGTATACAAACTCTGAACGAAAACAAAAACATAATTCAAGTTTTGGCATTTATATCACTTTTGTTAATACCAGCCCAAGGCACATTTGTGCTCTTTCCGAGAGTCCCAATTACTTAATTAGTAATGGCATATTCTTTCTCAAATAGTTATGACCACACACACACAAAATCTCTTCCTTCTAGGGCTCTTTCATGCCATTTAGGAGAATAAATGTGGTGCTTCAATATAAATAATCCTGATCACACAGCTGCAATCTGATTTCCCAGTTTGCAGGTGCTGTGAATATAGCATCAGGAAGTCAGAACAAATGCTCAAGTCTCTCAGTAAATCCGAGTAAATAGAACTAAATATATTTTCTTCCCCAGGATTTTAACCAAAATAAAGCACCTGGACTGTTTCTGGTATAGTGTATATAATCGTGCAACCCATCACCCAGAACACCACTTCTCTGCAGTTCACTCCACTTATTGCAGTCTGTCCTGGCAGTGCCTGCCTGCCCGTTCTTACAAGTCTAATGCTTCACAGAGGGTTTGAGAAACCCAGCTGTACAAGTGCAGGAAAGAGCAGTCAAAAATCTCTATTACAACTGAAGAAGTGCCAATCATAGAGCAACGAAGCATTTATCAGTGTTTTGAAAGAACTCTGCCTTCAACGACTGTTGTACAATCATGACAGACACTCACTCCATAGGACGGGATGGAAGGGGTAGAGATAAAAAAACCCCACACCACAAAAAGAAGCTCTGGAAGTTTTCACATCTGCCTAGAACAAAACCTACCCATATGGCAAGCTGTACTGCATGGCCGTCTACCACCATTTTCTTCACTTTAAAGTCAACACCTGAGACGTAGGAAGGGAAGCCTCGTCAGGACGGACCGGCGAACGCCTCGCCCTCTCGGCCCGCAAACCCTGCGGGAGCACCGCCCCGGGGCTGG